ACATATACTAAAATAATTATAGTTAAATGATAATTAATAAATATATATTAAATATAAAGAAATGTTACAGTTTAGATCATTAGTGTTATTAATGTGATTAGTAAAAAATTTGGGTGTTAAAAATTAATACTAGTGGTATCTTTAGCACTTTTATTACAAATATCCTAACATACTTTAGTCTTTTAAAAAAAATTAGATCATGATTGTTTTTGGAGATTCGGATCTCATGTACGGATTTGGATTATAATAGATTTGAAATAATTGGTCAGTCTAATATATAAGATTTGGATTAGAATTGGATTCTATTATTTATAAATAATCTATACAAAAAATTATAAATAATTACAAAAATAATTAAATTATATTTTTATTAATTGATTATTATAAAATAAAATATTTTTAACAGTTTTAAAATCTTATTTCATACAACCCTGTGAAATCCCATAAAATCTCAATGACCCCTAATTGTTTTAAATTTTAATTGAACTAAATATCATAATTGTTTTTCTACTTGTGAGTTGTGATTGTAAGTTTTGTGACTTTTTTTATCAGTATTTTTTTAGTTTCGTGATTTATATAAATTTTTTCTAACAAGTCATAAATTCATACAATTTCCTTGGCATTTGCAAATGTATTTAAAATCACATATGGAATAAACAATTGTGACGTGATTATCAAATATTCATTTATAACCCTGCTTTTATCCAAAAGAATAATACATCTGGATATAAATAGATGAATTTATTACATTACACCATCTCCTCCATGACGTTCGACCAATCTATTGGTCTTCTACCTTATTTTGAATGATTATATTTTTAACCCTTTTATTTTATGCCTATAGTATAACATTTTATTTTTTATGCATGAGGTACTGTATAATAATGCATATTATTTAAAATTTAAGATTGCAAGTAAATTATACGTAGGTACAACTTATTAAAGCTTTATGTTTGAATTCATGTAACTAAATACAGATAAACATAATCAAATAAATGATAACATCTAATTTTAAATATAAAAAATCTAAAATATAATAAAAATATTTATTTAATTATAACAAGATACTTAATTATTATCTTTATAAAAAAATATATTATTAAATAAAAAATAAATTACTTCGTTTTTAACCTTATATCAAATTATATAATGCATAAAAACCCTTTTGGAATTCAATATCACAATTCAACATCTTACATTGTACCTATAGAGTAAAAAATACTCCAAAGGTAGAAATTTGCAATTTATTATATAATTTTAATATAATAAAACAGAAAACCGACAATTAAGCTTTTAAGAGTAGAAAAAGTCAACATAACTTTAAATGTCAGGCAATTATATCTAAATACAATTATAGAGTAAATTACATATTTAGTCCTTATGGTATGTTAATTATTGTTTCTCGTCCATGAACTTTATTTACTACAAAACAACCGGTGTGGTATACGTTCGGTTTTTGGTTTTAGTCTCTCCATTTAACAACCATTGATTTCCAATAATTTAAGCCCCCACTACACAAGAGAAATACAATCATTTTACCTATGAAGACGATGATTTCATAATAATTATCGTTATTACTACCAACATACTACCATAAGGACCGCCAGCCACAACAAATATGAACACAAAAAGATATAAACATAAACATCTCAAGAACAATGGTAAAACATTGAATACAAACATCAAGAAGATATGAGCGTACATAGTAAATTTGTACAAACCTTGAAATCAAAACCCTAAACCCTTAAATCGTGTACCCTGATGAAGTAGAAGGAATGAGAGAGAGAGAGAGAGAGAGAGAGAGAGAGAGGTGGAGGGGTTGAGTTCCAAAGATTGTTTGTTCAAGTCGACTTGAATAGAGTTTGACAAAGGCATGCACTGTAGCAGATGGAGAAGTTAAAGCAAATGCAATAGTAGTGAAGGCAATGATGATTGTTGATAAAAAAGAAGATGGAAGTAATGTAAATGTCTAAGGGTTTACATCCATTGATTTGTTGTTGGAAGAGGGAATGCATGAAAGAGGCATGGGAGTGTGTAACGGGGGTTGGAAGGAAGGGGGTTTGGTGGAGAATAAAAAGAGATATTTTCACGTCATATCACATCTAATAGAAAAATTTTCAAATTCATCCGCATGTAAGAGAAAGATATAACTGGAATTAATAGAAAAACATAACGAATGTTAAGATGATAGACTATAATCGAACAAAATGTATACCACAAGGGTTAATTTTATAATAAACGAAACCAGAAACAAGAACCTGAAAATTAACATACCATAGGGACTAAATTTGTAATTTACTCTAAATAAAATTTTGTCGAGATTTGAGTTAAACGAGGCCACTATCCGAAGTTACACGCAACATCAATTCACTCCCTCCCTTTTTTCTTTCGTAACAATCACCACCCGAAACACACACACACGCACACACACACACTCCTCTGTTCCATCTGTCACACTCCCAGGCTCTCTCCGGCCACCGCTGCATTCGTCAACCGCCTCACCGTCCGTCCATATCGCCATAAATTTCTACCGGCAATCCAACTGTCTATCCGAATTTCAGGTTCAAACACACATACACGCACGCGCTGCATCTATGTGTCTACAAATTTGTGATTTCAGATCTGCTTACCAATCCAATGCTTCGCACTTTGAAAATAGTGATCAATTGTAAAATTGTTGAATTAGTTCTTATTTTGTTAAATAAATTTGCATGTCCAATCTATATAACCTAGCTGTTACATTGATGGAACTTCAATTACTTGGATTATATATTTTGTGATTTTCTTGGATAAATTTGATCGTTTATCTCTAGCAACAAGTGATTTTGGGAAGTTTCTATGGCAATGGCATTTTGGCGCTTGAATTTTTTTCAGTTAATTATGCATTTGAAGTATTCTTAGCTCTGTTGGTGGCTTGATGCGAGCGGGTAGTTTTGTACTTCCGCATCCCAAAATGAATCTGCAATTATAAGCCAGTTTGATAGATTATCGGTTCATATGCCCTGTATTTTGACCAAGTCCAGTAGTAAGTAATTCAAATTCAGACAATGGATCTATTTGCTGATTTCATTGGCAAAATTAATTTCAGGATATTGGAACTTAGAACTACAAATCGGTGGTTCTGCAAATGCAAATTCTTGATGATGTGAAACCAGTTTGTTTGGCCACAGTAGCACTGGCACAGCTGTAATGTTATTGGAGTGGTCTTAGGGTACACATTTTACTTGATGCAATGACCTGGCAAAAGAATTGTGGTTTGCAGTTGTTCATATTACTCGGGAGTCAAACATTTTCTTTATACTTCTTTTGCATTTTCAGTCATGATTTGGCAGCATTGGATTCATTTGCTGTTGCAGATGTAACAAGTAACAATCCAAGCGTTGCTCAAGTGTGTGATAGATCCTTACGATGTTCAGATCCAAAATCAAATGGGTGGCACTTGGAGGGCTGGTTCTCTCCTTTTTGTCTTTGCTGGTGCACATGTTTGTTGCAAATACGAGTGTGGAGCTAGTACAGTATAGCGTGATGACACGATTTATTGAGGATTTGAATATAGATATTGCGGGGAAACAGGTAAAACTTGCACTTTGATCTTTAATTCTATGGTAGTAGATATATATTAATCCGTACTATCAACCAAAATTATGTATTCCTACTTTGATAATTCATTCGTTTCTTTTTGGTTACTGCAGGGTGTTAGATCTCAGAAGTTGTGGAAGAAAATTAAACCTTTAGAGGTTTTGCAGCCGTATGCAAACCCTAGAAGTCACTATCCTGGTAATGAGTATGCCGTCTACCTTGTCTTACACTTATCACAAGCTATAGGACTTGTAGAACTAGATTTGTAGAACATATTTAAGATGCTTCGAACTGCTGTTTTCATCCTTCCCTATCAACAGATAGATGGAAGCTTCTATCTTTGTGGTTAAATTGTCACTGTGAATGTGATACATATTTATCTAAGTTCTGAGTTGCATATTCTTGGATTCATACCTTTACTTGCTCTCATGCAGTATCCAATAGCATTAATACCTTAACTTTCCACATATACTCTTCTGCTTCCTGTTACTTCAACTTGATTTTCGTGTTGCAGTTCCAGTTGACCCAAGTAATGGTTTCATATATGCCAAAATATTTGGTGAATTTGAGAAGATTAGATCTTCGGTATGTTCATGTTGATCTCAAAATTTTCTTCGGTAATTTGCTAATCTTTTTCTAAAGGTTTATACGGGCTTGACATTTTTCTAGATTTGTGATCTTGTTGCGATATCCAGGCTTCTCAATGCTACTCTGGTTATTCCAGAGATTCAAGAAAGTACAACTTCAAAAGGCATCAGGTATAGTTGGCAGTGTTTGGAACGATTCAAAATGACCGGTAATCTTTTATTTAATTTTGTAACCGCTGAGCATTTTTTTAATTCTCTGCAGCTCTGAGTTTAAAAGTTTTTCATACCTCTACAACGAAGAACAGTTCATAACCTCTCTTAAAAATGATGTAATCATTGTGAAAAATCTGCCCCCTAAGCTGAAGGAGGCAAGAAGACGCAAAGAATTTCGTACTTTTAAGCCAAAGAAGTCCGCTTCTCCTGATTATTACATTAGGGAACTCTTGCCAGAGTTAAAGAAGGTGAAGGTTGTTGGATTGGTGATCATGGATGGAGGCTGTCTACAGGTATTAGTTTTCTTATATTCTTGCCTTCTCCACCATTAGATAACTCTTGCTTGTCAAACTGCTATTGTTGGTCTTCAGTAATCTGATTGAGTTTTGGAAAATGTTTCCTTCTCAAATCAGAATGTCTCCCTCTAATTATGTAAGTATGTGCTTTAGTACCAATATTAACAAATACACAAAAAAGGACGACCTACTTGTCTTGAATTGAACTTAATTACTTTTTCACTCTGTCTCCCAAATGTATACGAACTAATGGCTACAAATATGCTCCATGCTCAGAGAGATTTAAAATTTCTATGAGGACAGTCAGCTAGCTTATTGGATGGTTACTTGTAAACAGATCATGGTTAGAACACATATATACTGACAATGTGATTAATATCATACTGAACCCATTCCCACCGATACCAACAATTGGGGTAATTTATAAAAATCGCACTTGTCTTTGTATAATTGAGTTCTTACAAGTTCCACCGTTATATTTCTGTTACCAATAAGATATAATGTCTTTAAACCTCTGCTATTGATTCTCTCCTCTAATCTAATGCTATTTTCTTATCAGCCTATCCTCGCATCTAAATTGGTTGAATATCAAAGGCTGCGATGTCGGGTAGCTTTTCACGCTCTTCATTTCCGTCCTGAGATTCTAGCACTTGCTCATCTAATGGTGAAAAGGTAAAGCTATCTTATCTGTTCTTGAACTGTATTCAGTTATAGAGAGATGTAGAGTACTAAATGCAACTTAATATCACCTTTGTTCCCACAAAATGAGACAACATGTTCATATCACTCTTTTTGTTTATTGTCCCTTGGATTAGGTTCTTTATTACATGGAACAAGATGTGTTTATTATTAATCTCTTTAGCCCATCCTCTAGGCAGTTATAATCTCTTTAGGCACATCCTTTAGGCAGTTATACATCGCACCTCAAAGATGGTTCAACTTCCACCCAATGCACTTCTCATGCATTTGTGTTGACCAAGGCCAACTTTTGCATAGTAATAATCTGCCTGCTGTATTACAGAGTGTGAATGTGAAAAAAAGACCCTCGTCTTCTTTTTGAAGACTTGTATGGTACCCGCTTCATCCCAAAATAAATGCAAAGTCTGATTCATCCAATAGTTTTATGAAAGTTTGTGACCATTAGACAAATATCCACCCTTCAATAATGACAGACTAGAGGAATCTTGTTAATCAAAATACATACTATCAGTATTTGTAGTGATTAGTGATTATCAAAGAGGTAATATTCATGGGTGGACCCAACTCTTTGTGGAGTGGGGGAAAGGCACCGAATGAAATCAAAATTTAGAAGGAATTTTTTTCTATTGTTACCCTTACACTTTCTTTTGATTTATCTTCCCCCCATCTCTTTGACCTCTTGCCCCCATTTGCTTTTGGTTTTTCCAACTTTCTTTTTGCATTTTATTATTTTATAGATCTATATTTATTGTTATTTGCTAACAAGTTGTTCTCTATTTGTTGATTGTTATTTGATTTAGGCTCTTGGGTTTGTTATTTTGATTCAGGGTTTGCTACTAGTTTATCTTTTATTTCTGATTTCTTGGTCTTTTGCCATTTGATTTCTTTTTGTCTGAATCTAATATTTTGGCTATTTCTTGGCGATTTCTTGGCTTCTTGCTCTCTAATTTCTTGCTGATTTATATGTTTATTAACTATTAAGAATTCTGATTTATCATTAACTAGGTTTGTTACAAATTGATATAGTGTCACTGTCAAGTGTCAACATGTTATTTTACTAAGAATTGGTTTAGTTCGTTTGTTCCTCTAGCCATCAGGTCCATCATGGATCACTCAAATTTTGTATTAATGTGTAATGTGTACTTGTTTTCAATTTAACGAAATAGTAAAAAATTGACTGAAAACCGAAGCGAATTAAGGTATCTTTATTCAATTAACTGAATTGGTTAACCCGAAATCCTCTTGGTACAGAAGGTTATTTAGTTTTGGAAATTTTTAACACCTCTAAGTGTCCCCCCAATCACATAAGTTTTTGGATCTGCCACTGGTAATATTGGATAAAGATATCACCAAACATGCAAAATGTTACTGGTGCACTTATTTGGGATCGAGGAAGAACAACTGCACATGCAAGATCAAGTTTTATATGACAGTTCATATGGACCTTAATTTTTTTCCTTTGGCTTCACAATGAATGTTAGAAAGTGGAATAATGCCCAAGATTTCCATGCATGTAGAGTGGTTTGGAGGGAGGTACATATGAGGCTACAAGTTCATTGGCGTAGATCTAGTATAGTAACACTCAAGTTCTTACTGTCCCATAGAAGTTACTTGGATATATACCTCCATTTTCTTCTTTTGACATCTTAAGAATTAATCCTCACCATTCCTTGAAGTGCTAAGTTTACATCGCTCCTTAACCACATTAGTATTTGAGCATCGCATCTTTCGTATGTAGGTTACGAGCTTCTGGGCAACCTTATCTTGCTTATCATCCTGGTCTAGTAAGAGATAGCTTGGCTTACAAGGGTTGTGCTGAGCTTTTCCAGGTTAGCAGTTTATTTTACTTTTAACTTTATAGTTGTAGTGTTACTCAAAGGTGGCAATGGAGCCCATACAAAAATATGCCAAAGTATTCTTCTACCTCTGTGTTTATTGTCCTTAATATTTATGTTTTCACATAGAGATTATTATACTAGCATCTTCCATGGAAGCACAGTACAAATTATTTGTCTGCATATTCTAATAGCAAATTTTTGCAATTGCTTTGTAAGTGATATTGTTGGAAAAGTTGCACATTTGAGTTTTTGGGATATTCAATGACATAAATCTTCATCGTTATATTTTTGAAATGGTAACAAAGAGTAAGCTACGTGTGACAATCAGAACACATATCCCTTTGGCCTTTGGCTAAAAGGTTCATGTAGTATATCCAAGAAAATTGAATTATTTTTGCCTCGTTTTGGAGCTGTGTTTAAGTACACAATTTGTTTTCTCATTAATTGGAAATTAATCTATAAAGAGAAACTAATTTAAGCTGACATAATTTAATACCTGATTATATCTAAACCAACAATTTCCCTCAAGTTGGGGAACATATATTTATAAGACTCAACTTGCTGATGATTCTATCAAAACTTGGTTTGAACAATCTTTTTGTAAAGATATCAACTACTTGCTACGTGATTGGAACATGCGACATGCATATCACTTCATTCTCTTGCTTTTTTCTTTGATGAAGTGACTGTCAGTTTCTACATATTGTTTCATGCCATGCTGCACAAGATTATTAGCAATACTTATTTCATCCTTGTCACAATATAGTGTCATAACACGATCCAATGGTAGTTGTAGCTTCTTTAGCACTCGTTTGAGCCAAATTGCCTCACAGATTCCATTGGCCATAATGTAGAACTCTGTTTCAACACAGTTGTGGAGCCATTACCTTTTGTTTTTTTTACTTAACCAAGTCACTATATTTCCCCATACAAATGAGCAGTATCTACTTGTAGATCTTCTACTAGAATCTGCATCAGTGAATACCTCATCAGTTCTTTGAGTCTTCTTCTCAAAGAACACTCCTTTAAGAGATTTCTTGAGGTATCTTAGAATGCTGTAAGCTGCATGCAACTTTCCTAGGAGAGTGCATAAATTGGCCAAACTGACAGCCATAGCTATGGGACAAGTAAACTAACTTCCTGACCAATCTTTGATATCTCCCAACATCTCCTGAAATTATCTTCAACGTCACTAAGTTCTTCATCGGGTCCTCATGCGTATCGTGTCATGTCATGTCAGTTGGTGTACAACCCGACATACCTGGATCAAAAAACAAACATATATATTTATGTCGGCTTACCATGTTCCCCTTCTTTTGATCTTTAAACTTCCATTCCAAGAAATACTTGAATGGTCTGAAGTTTTTAATCTCAAATGCTCGGGCCAAATTTGCCTTCAACTTTTCTATTTCTTCATGATCTTCTCCTATGACAATGATGTCATCCATATATACCAATAGAACATTCATCTTCCCATTTTTTCCTTTCAAATAATGTGTATCGAGTCTGACGTAGGGAATATCTCTGTTGTTTAATTGAATTTGTAAAATCCTTGAACCAAGCTGTGATTTGCTTCAACACACAAAGGAATTTTTTTAACCATCACATTTGGGCTCCAAATTCAATCTGAAAGCCTAGGTTTGTTGCAACTGATGATAGGACCCTTGTAGTTGTAGTATTGAGTTTCGCACCGGAGCAAATGTTTTAGTGTAGTCTATGCCATAAGTTCGAGTGAAGCCTTTTACTACCATTCTTGCCTTGTTTTTTTCGAGCATCCCATCCGAATTGTACTTGACTATGAACCCCCATTTACATCCTACCAACTTCTTTCCAGGAGGGCCAACTACTTCTACCCGTGTCCAATCCAATTGTTGCCTTCTTTCCAAGAGCTTTATTTCCTCCAGAATTGTTGCCTTTCATTTACGGACATGTAAAGTTACTCGTAAAACTTTGAAATTCCCACATGATTAAGATGTGAGATAAACGCAAGAGAAAGATGGAGACAAATTTTCAAGGGAGACATAGTTAGACATAGGATACTTGATGGTGCATTTTCCTACTCTTTTTCTAAGAGTTATTAGTATATGAAACTTGGGAAGATCAAGGCTAAATTCAAGGTTTAAGGAATATGATCAAGAGAAAATGTACCTCATTGTGGGGCTTCTTCTGGGCTGTGCATAGGACTGCCTGAATATATTGCTTCAAATAAGCACCTTCCGATAGTATGTTTGGCCAACTTTCTTGTCATATTTCGGATTCTGTTCTATGTCATCAATATTGCTAGTTATGGCTGGTTCATCATGCGTTTTTCTTTTGTTCTCAACTTCTTTAGATTCATCACCCACATGGTTAGAATCTTAATCATTTCCGTGATTTTCTCTTCCACATTGTGGTTGAGATTTTGAAAAGACCTTCTTGTCGGTTCAAGATTCAAACCAAGAAAGATTCCAGGTCGAATTCTCCTCCTAAAGATGAGAGGTAAAAATATGTTTCGTCTTGATTTGAGACAAAAACAGTGCACAACCAAATCCCTGGAAGGGTAAATCGAACCAAAAGTCTAGGATCCCGGTTATATTCATTGAACTTATGCAGGGACATAAGAAAACAACAGTTAAGTGAGCATCACTTCAGAAGGTTTTAGGTACATAATTGAAAACAACAATGAGCTTGTGACTTCAAGTAAATTTCTATTTTTTCTTTCAACCATGCCGTTCTGTTGAGGTGTGTCATCATGATAACTTTGCCATATGATCCATTTTCAGGAATCAAAACTTCGGATTAATAGTCCCTGCCATCATCACTCCTAAAAATTTGGATATTTTCAAACCATGGAGTAGAAAATTAAAAAATATACGCAACTTCATGTTTCTCTTTCATCCAAAAAAAAATCCACGCTAGTCGTCTGTGATCATCGATTAAAGAAGCACACCATCTTTTGCTAGGAAAAATGGGATTTCATGATGGACCCCAAATATCACAATGGATTAATTGACGGCTTAGATGAAACATAAGGCTGAGAAGGACAGTTAAATTTGTGATCTTTTGCAAAAGCACATGCTTTACATTGAAATAAAAATGGATCTTTATTGATTAATAACTTGGGAAGTAAATGCTTTAAATAGAAAAAGGGGATGTCCTAAATGAGAATGCCATAGCAAAACATCTTGATCACTATACATAGATTCTAACTTATGATAAGGGTTTTCATCCACTATACTTGAATGCAATCCATCTTTAAAGTAATACAATCCTCCACATTCCTTAGCGCTGTCATTGATCGTCCCCAAGACCAGTTCTTGGAAAAACATATAGGAAAGGAAAATTTAGCTTGATAGTTAGGTCACGAGTGAGTTTGCTAATGGACATCAAATTACATGACAAAGGATGACAGCAGAAAGGATAATTTTGGCTGAAATTTTGATGATTTCACTGCCAGCAATGGCGGCAAATGTGGCATATGCAATTTTGACGTTTTTTCTTTTGGGTTGTAAGAAGAAAAATATTGAGAGCAATATGCCATGTGATTAGTAGCCCCAGTATCTAAGACCCAAGGACAACAAAAATGATTTGAACACGCAAACGAAGAAGAGATGCCTTACTCAATTGCTTCCGAAGCCCAAGAAAAAGAGGAGTTAAGAGAATTGTGGGGAGGTCGAAAGTCTATATAAATGTTTGAGTTGATCCTTGGTGAAGACATCAAATCAGAAGACATGATCTGTTCCCAAGAGGTCTCAACCATGGCTGTGGTAGCTTTCCGCATTTTCTGCCCCCTGCTTTGTTTTGTGGTAGCTTTCCTTCTATTATTTGCAAGGCAGGTAGTGTGGCAATATCCAAATTGACCTAAACAAAGGTACCAGCATGCTGGTTGATTGGTAGACTGCATATACTGGAGGTTGTTGACATGATGAAGTTGAGATAGAAAAAGAAACTTTTTTCTGGTGGATCGTTCAAGTTACAGCGGCTAGCAACAACGGCAGCAACAAATAAACAAAACCGACCAAGGGAGAAAACTTTTTCTCTGAAAGCAACCAACAAGAACCAATCAATGCTGATCTTAATGGAACAGAGAAGACATGAACAAGGGCTGAATGATTTCGTCAAATGCAACCTAGAGAATAACTGGGAGGAAGTAATGACGGTGTCAAAAAAGGAAAAAAACAATGGTTACCTAAACAAATTGTGGAACCAACCAACTGTCAAGGATGAAAAAAGGGTGCTGCTACAGTTGTGAAACTATAGCCCCTATTAGACTCTGATACCATGTAGTTTTTCTCAGAAAATTGAAATATTGCTGCTTCCTCTTGAAGTGTACAGGGTTGTGTTTAAATAATAAATATACAATTTATTTCCTCATTAACAGGAAACTAATTTATGCTAACCTAATTTACATATGTGATTATATCTAAACCAACAATTCACAAGACTTCTTAGTTTCAGTGATTTTTTGGCATCATAATAGAAAAAGCAATTGGCAGCGTCCCCTCAAATAGTGCATGCAATATTGCAACGCGGATCAGCCAAAAAACTTTGATGCTTATATGAAGGAAATCCTCAAAACTATCACTTCCACACCTAACTGTCATCTATTTTTTGTAGGATGTCCATACTGAGCTTATACAGTATCGACGGGCACAAATGATCAAGCAGAAAACTGTTCATGACGAACTAACTGTTGACTCTTTTATTCGGAAACTAAATGGCTCATGCCCACTGATGCCTGAAGAGGTAGACGTATTTATATTCTTCACGGTTCTCTGTTTTTGTCATGGCAGTCTGTGGGTACATTGTAAAAAATTGATCAAAGTTTGCAGTTGCATGCTTAATTAACATTTGTAAAGCTTTATCTGTACTTTTTAAATGAAGCAAACATAGCGTCTTCATTGAGATATTTTTCAAATTTATATTTCTAGGTTTAGAGTTGGAACATGCACACATATTTATTTATTTCTATTCACCATCAACTTTGCAGGTGGGACTTCTCCTCCGAGCCATGGGTTATCCACCAACAATAAGAATCTACTTGGCAGGTTCCGAAACATTTGGTGGTCAACGTGTCATGATCCCCCTTCGTGCCATGTACACCAACTTAGTGGATCGTTCTAATTTATGCAATAAACACGAACTAAACAAATTATTAGGCAATGAAGCCCCACTTCCTTCAAACTCTTTCAATCCCTCTCCTATTAAAACCGCCAAGACCCTAAAGAAAGAATGGGATCAGGCTGGTCCACGTCCTCGACCTCTTCCTCCACCTCCAGGCCGCCCTATTTATCAACATGAAAAAGAAGGATGGTATGGTTGGGTTGCAGAAAAAGATTCAGAGCCAGACCCTTCGCCAATTGATTTAAGGGACAAAGCTCACCGGTTGTTGTGGGATGCCCTTGACTATGTTGTATCAGTAGAAGCAGATGCATTCTTCCCTGGGTTCAATAATGATGGTAGTGGGTGGCCAGATTTTTCAAGCTTGGTCATAGGACATCGGCTCTATGAGATGGCATCCGCAAGAACTTATCGACCAGACAGGTAAATACATGTTTTGATGTTTATACTGTTTTCTTTCTTTTATTTTCTGCAGACTATGCATTCTAAGGCCATGCTTTAGAGTCACATTTGCTTTTTCAACCTCCCAGTACCACTTATCTCACCACTTATAATAGATATGTACTAATTAGCTTTTTGAATATTCTAATAATAAGGATATCAATATCCGGTTGCATATTTTGTGGGGCAGAAGCCTGTTCAAAATTGTATGATTCATGACTCTTACAATTTGATTTATTTGGCAAAGAAATCCTTTCCGATTTGCCATTATATCTTGTGGACAATGTTGGGAGTTGCATATATTACGGATAAGTTGAGGGAGGGGAGATTGTGGTTGTTTGGTCACGTTCTTAGGAGACCGATGACTGGTCCATTGAGGAGGATATAAGACGTGAGAGTCGAGGGAGCAAGGAGAGGACGAGGAGGATGTGCGATGAGCAACTGAGGTTGGACATGGTTGCTTTAGGCATTTCTGAGGACATGATCTCTGATAGGACTCTTGGAGACGCAGGATTAGGGGTGGGGATCCATAGCTAGAGTAGACGGGAGGTAGGGAGCTGGAGAGGTAGAGGGTGGGAGATACAGTTAGTGAGTTAGACTAGGGCTGTGTAGTTTCCATAAGTTGGTTATGTTTTCCTTGTACCTGCTTTTATTTGTATGTTATTGCTTACTCTTAACCAGCTTTGGAAAATTTTATGACTTTCTTTCTTTGACACATTTTTCACAAGCCATGGTTTTCATAGAAACAACCCACACTACTTTATGGGGTTGAGGTCCGGTCACCATACGTCTTACCTCCCTGGACCCCACCTCGGGTTGGGATATACTTGTTTGGTTCTGTTTACCATGATTTCTTACTATAACTATGTTGTTTTTGTGAACTTTCAAGTAGAGTTTACTAATCAGAACATATTAGTGGCCACCTGAACCGACAAGATTGTATGTTTGTATTTTTTGATGTCCTAACAAATGACTAAATGGAATAAGACCACAAAGGAAGTGATTAATACAAGTATATATTGGTTTATTCTCACTAGAATACTTCTTTTCTTTTATATTAATACGAGTTCAATGAAGTCCAGATGATCCATCATTTGATTCGGTTCACAGTTCACCTTTCAATTCACAAATTGACAACCATGATCTAGTAAAGGCAGACCCTCTTTATATTTTTCTGACAAACTATGCTCATTTGCTATTTACAAAGTCTCCCCCCCCCCACCTTCCGGTGGGATATACTGGGTTTGTTTGGTTTGGTTTATGATCATCTATGTACTTGAATTCTTTGTTTTGTTTCATTTAGTCCTAACACATGCTTCTGATTAAACTGGCTTTTCCAACAGGAAATTTCTCGCTAATCTGTTCAACAGCACTGAAGATCATTTTTATTTTCCAAAGCGAAGGTGGACCCTAGCAGCACGTAAACATCTGAACGACAGCCTGGGAGAGGAAGGACTAAAGAGACAATTCATTCAATCGAAACCAATATCATTCCTCTCCCACCCCATCCCAGAATGCTCTTGTACCATTTCTAAAACTAGCAGCCAGAACACGTGTCCCAAATGGATGGAAGAAAGCCTTGCCAAATCCCGACTGCAAGAGAGCGCTACGCTCAACGAGAATGAACAACCCGATGATGATGGAATAGATGAAGAGCAAATGGATTCAGAAGATGAAAGCAAGGCGAACAATTTATCTCCTTTGGAAGAAGATGTTGAAATGGATCCCGATGATTAGATGTTCATAAGGTTCGATACAGGTTTCTCACACAGATTCTTTTATTGATTGTCATATAATATTCATTTGGGGGTGGCGCGTTTTTTGGTCGGGAATATTTGCGACGGCCTCGCGGTTGCACAAAGGGATACAGGAAGGGAAAGAATGGTAAGAAACAGAGAGTTATAAATCTATAGTTTTACAAAAACATTCATCGGTTGTGTATTTGTATTCTTATAATCATATTGATTACATTGTTCTCGTTTGATTTTAACCAAATTTACTTCACATATATAAAATTATGATTTAACAAAATCCATAGTAAGCTAAGACCATACAAAGTGAATTTTATAATTGCTATTAATTGTCGTGAAATTAGGTTCACTAAATTGACTCCCAAATAAAAAAGTCAAACTAAAAGTCAACTATACTTATCAATCCAAAACAATTTCTTCAATATCGATCTCAATCCAACTTGCATATGGTTTGGATGTGACTTCAGGTCCATCCCCTTCTCACCCCGTTCCACTTCTTTGCACATGTGACTTCTTTTATGCACAGACCAAAATCGAGCAAACGACAAGTCATGATGAATAAAATAAAACATTTAACTCGCAAACAAAGTAGTGCAACTTTTCCTTTGTAGTCGCACGTATGGACTTAAGGCACAAACTCTTAAAAATTTTATTCGTCAATTGCATTGCCTGCTATTGGCCTTATGAGCTTAATGACATGTGTAGAAGCTGTTTATTTATGGCTTAATGAGATATTGAAGAATCAATGAATGAGTTATGGTTAAAGGTGAAATTCACTCTGAGAACCTAAGCTTAGTGGTTCTCCCCCATAATGACATTGACATGGAGGGCTGATTCTCATCCATATCGAAGTGTGTGTTTGCATTTTGTGATTAAGCTCTCAACAATTTTGGAGGTATTCTTTTGTGAATTTTTCCTCACACCCGCTCTTAGTCTATACAAACAAATTAATCCATACCGGGTTTGATGAAAAAACAAACAAACGATAATACATTGCGTATAGGAACATATGTGTAAACCAAATCACCAATTTATATAAATTATATAAATAGGGAATGCCCCTTTTTACAACTTCATCTATTATACTTTCTAGGACTAAAGAAAGAAACTACAGTGAAGTCAAGATCGTTAGACAGATGACAAAAATCCTTTGTCCTCGAACTATGAAATGCGTAATTGGGCTGTGAGATGAACAAAAGCTTCTTCGTGGCACGGAATCGTAAGCCCTCCCATTGGATGGTTGAACCCAAATTCTTCCTCTGATCTACGTAACAAGTCTTGGAACAGCGGTTGGTCCAAATACGATAAAGGAACCACAAAGCGTTTCCTTTGAACTTCTCCTACGTACACAGCCAAATATCCTTTGGGAACATCTTGACGTTTAACTAGTTGTTTTGCATTAGCAACTACTGATCGCAAGCGGAAAATCCCCATATCTTTAAGCGAAAACTTAGACTGTTTTTGAGAGAATGAGGTGATACAAGATAATCTTGCAGACAATTAGTGGAAGGTGTAGTTTGGTTGAAGTAATTGGTTATCAAGGTCATATTTATAGTGTATAAATATTTATAGTCGATCACAGGTAGGCACCCAAATTGGAAATCTTGGTGTTCTTCAAGGGCCTACTTCATGTGAAACTTCACATGTCTTTGTTCAGTCTAATATCACTCAGAGATCGATCGAATAGTTTTCTTTATCCATCGAATCGGTAGATAAATTATTAAGAACATGTTGGCCTACCTGTTTCTATCAGGTCATGATCGTGACCAAGCAGCAACACTTTGGACCTGAATTTGATATCAGCTGCCCAACATGGAGTGAAAATAACTAGCTAGAAATAGCCCATTCACAGAAATTATACATACATAAATATATATATATATATGCAAAGGATCGTGTGGGAGGAAAGAAGTGTAAGAAGATATCTGGATCCTTAATCACTTTTAATCTCATGTCTACCCATAAATTGCGCTTTAGAAGAGAATTGATCCAATTAGTGTTGACATTCAATTAAGATTGATCCAAGATTGAAGATCTCTTCTTACCTTCTTACCGTAACTTCTCATTTGAACCCAATTCTCTCTCTCTCTCTCTCTCTCTCTATATATATATATATAAGATAGAGATGTGTTCAAATGAGAACGTTGACCAAACAAGAGAACAGGAGAATGATCATGTGATATTACACTATATGTGATTACACACTACCTTGTTTGCGACCTAAGTTGCGGGACAAATTGTCCACTCACCGGTGCATCGACCCGTGTTACATACTCGTATGTGATTTTAGTGCAAACTTACATGTCATTTTACTATTCTTGTGTTCTTATTTTGACCCTCTTCTCATTTGATCCTCTCTCTCTTTCTAGGACTAAATTATAGGTGTATAAGACACTTTTAGGCATTTTAACAAATTTTTTTAACACACTTTAAAAATAAATGGTCCTATTAGCTATTTTATACGACATTTTTGAAAAGTGTCCTATAAACCCTCCTATAGACTCATCTATTTTATATGACACCTTTTCGAATAGTGTCGTATAAAATACTTAATATGACGCTTTGTTGTGGAAATGTCTTAAAAACTTGTTAAAAACGCTTAAAACATTCTATAAACATATTGTAACAGATGTGACGATTTTTATTCTATTAACTTAAGTCCTATAATGTATTTTTTAGGACGTTTCTACATTTTAAGTGTCTTATAAAATCAATTCTTGTTATAGTGAAATATACATTGGAATTATTCTAGCGCGTGGCATGACTGAAATATTCTTGTTCAACTTTCCTTATGTCTCGAGTGTTCGTGGGTTACAAAACTTTTGTGACACCCATTTAAGTAGCGATAACCAAATTATTTAACATAAATTATGGTTTAACCAAAAGTGAGAAAACTTGGGGGGCATAAACCCACGTGTCGGTGTTGATTCAAATGGTTAATTATGCATACTTAAATTTCACATGTCAACTACTTGTATGAAGAAATTTATGAATGGGCCTACACTTGTTTCTTGTGAATTTATGATCTGCCCCCTGCCCCCTACACTGCTAGTTAAAAGGGCAATAAAGCCCTTCAATTAATTATACAAACGCTAGAGATTGTTTCTTGAAAATGAGTTGTTTTTATTGGAAATAATACAATGAAAGAAGTTTGTGTATATATCGTTAAACAATATATATATATATATATATATATATATATGTATGTATGTATATATATAGGCCTCAAGATCAGGGGCGGACCGCCTAATGGGCCTATAGGGGCCCTGGCCCCTGCGCTTTTTTTTCCAATACCCTTCCATAGTTTAGTCTAATAGATTTAGGAAACCAAATTTTCTCAACCGGCCCCCCCACTTCCAGGCGACCAGGCGACGGCGATAGACTCGAGAGGCGGAGAGGGAGAGCGAGCTTAGTAGGCGGAGCCGCAAAGGAGAGCTACTGCGCAGCGGAGGCGGAGGCGGCAGGGCCGGGCAGCGGAGGCGGAGGTGGGCCAGGCGGCACTGCAGGCGGTCGACGGCCAGCTCTCAGCCGGTAAGTCCGTCCTCGGTCCTTCTCTCATTCTCATTCTCTGTAAGACTGTAACAGGGAGAGACTCTGTTACTGCTTGTCTGCTTGCACCTTCTATTTGTTGATTTACTCATTTACTGATTTAGTCATTTAGGTCTAAATTTATGTGGACTGTGGACCTGTGGTGATTTAGGCGTTAGCTGTTAATAGTTCACTCCTTCTCACTTTCTCAGTCACTGAGTTCTGCTACTGTTTTACAGCCTACCACACAGCACACTTGCACTTCACTTGCACCTTTTGTTTTGAAATCAAAACCCAAAAGTGGTGATTTACAGACTTACAGTTAACTGATTTAGCATTTAGGTGATTATTAGGGCTAAATTTATTGAAATTGGTTATATGGTGATTTACTGATTTAGGTGTATTGGTGATTTAGGTGATTTAGGTTATTTACTGATTTAGGTGTATTAGGTGATTTAGGTGATTTAGGTTACTTYTGTTGATCTGTTCTCCTAGACCTAGACGACTAAGACAGTAAGACTGCTAYTGCTGCTTGCTGATTAGAGCAAAATTTTTCTGTAGTCACAGCATGCCTATGTGGGTGAGCTACTTGCTATTAGTTTCTAGGGTGTCAAATTAGTCTTTGGTTTTTGTATGAGGAATAATCCCTTAAACATATCTTGACTGATAAAAATCGAAAAGGTCCACCTAAAAGAACGATAATATGACGCAAAAGAGATACAAATGATGGTGTTGGAGTTCATCCCATACGTTGAGGAGGATGTTGTGTAGTTCATCGGTAGCTTATAACACTTCCGATTTCCGGGGTCTGGGAAAAACCGAAGAGAGGTGTTGAAATCAACTGTCGTAGTGTTGCCTTTGGTGATATATTCGTTGTCCGACACCAATGAAATGTTGGCGGAATCGACAAAATTTGTAGCTCCTCCACAAGATAAACTCCAAAAACCTGTTGGAAAGTTGCATGATCATACAGACAATAGAAGAAGGTACAGTTTGTATAAGTTATATTTGACAATGTCATGTACAAATATTCAGCAGCTTTCTTAGTCCTCCAATTAATCGGCATCAACGTTTGAGAACCCCCATCTCAAAAACCCAAACTTGTCAACACTGCCTGTCACCTGAGAACAAATCTCTTCCTAGAGCACCTTGAGACACCTCAAGATACAAAGAGCCCATCCAACTTGCTAGTGTTTGGAATAGACATMACCTGGTTGGCTACTCACCTTGGCAGCATTTGAGCTATTGACTTTGTAGTTTYACTTCCCAACAAGKGCCCTCTGTTTYTTCAGATCATCCRCTAGCTTCCGGTTCTGAGGCAATAGRCAATAACTTGCGATTAGGTACCATCAGTGAGTTAATAGGCTAACTTCTTTCTATACTACAGTCCCTCTTCTGAGAACCTCAACTCCAAAAGCATACTTGAGTGACTACCAAATGGTTATATATTTCCAAGAGGRTCTGAGCAAAATTGAAGACATCATCTTCTGATCCAGTTTCGCAAAAGGATGTATCCTGATTGGATAACCCCAAACCTTACTAACACATCGTCCTCAGTGTATTTTTGGCATTTTTGAAAATGTATAATACTAGGTTCGGCCCCTGCGCTTGGAAAGTGTGTGTTCCGCCCCTGCTCAAGATCATACTAAGTGAGATCTATATATATATATATATAGCATTCAAAAGTGGCAATAAGAAGAACATGGTGTATTGGAACTATTAAATATGGTTTAAATCCCTTATGCAACCTGGCTAAACAAATTGGATGTAGATGATTTTAGTTTCATCAAGTATTTTGGTGTAGTTTGGATTTATTTGTGGTTGTCAAGGGGGTTGTGCCCTGAAACCTAAACATTACACATTAAGGGGTCGTTTACTAAACGCTTATCCGGTAGATGTTTACAGGGCAATTTTCCTCACTGGACGAACATGACAAGATCCAAGAATCTTACCTGGTAAGAGCAATGATAAGGATAGAGAGTCTTACCCGGTAAGTGAGGGTGACGACTCTTACCCGGGTAAACGCTTACCATGTATATTGTTGCATACGATACTATTTTGATATACTACAATCTTACCTAAAAAATAATTTATAGTGTTGACTCCTAACGGTAAACGCTTACTGGGTAAGCATTTAGGTAAACAACTCCTAAATGTTCTTCAGAAAGTAAAATCAAAAGGCTAAGAGGCTGCTTAGTAAACGGGTTATCAGATAAGCACTTATTTGTAAGAGTGCCAACCTTAATTATCTTGTCGTATAACATTCTTGACTATCAAAATGGATTGTTGGTAAACAACTTTATTTGGTGAGTACTTATGGGGTAAGAGTCTTCTCCCTCACTTATGGTGTAAGAGTCTTCGTCCTTGCTATGTATCTTACTTGGTAAGATTTCTAGGTCTTTGTCATGCTCACCCAAAACGTAAGTAACACTCTGACAAGCGTTTGGTAAACGGTCTCTTAGTCTTCATTAGAAGGTGAGTCTTCAGAAGGCAAACCTTGACTTTTGATAACTATCTTCAGATTCTCAGAAGGCGCATCTTCGAAGGATTAACTTCACTACTTTCTCAAGTCTCACTACTAGAATATTAGGCATCATCGACGGCAAAAAACCGTCAGTAATTACCGGTGGTCACTACAACAAAATCGAGTGTATGTGATGCCAAAAAAATTTAAGCATCATAATAGACTGCTTTATAAGACTTAATTTATAGGACCGAACAATAAAGTTTTCTATCTAAAGGCGTTGAAATAAGTTTATAGAACACAGTTTTATAGGACACCTTTAATATAAAACGTCTCATTAGCAATTTTATAGAACAATATTTGAAAAAAATGTCCATAAAAACAAGTGCCTTATAAAAATAAGTGTCATATAAAAGATGACTTTTCATGTCATTTTTTCAAAAGTGTCTTATAAAATTGCTAATTTATGGCGACGCTTTGTATTAAAAGTGTTCTAAAAATCTTGTTAGGACATCAAAAAATGTCCTATAAACTTATTACAACGTCATTAGATAGAACGCTTTACTTATTAGGACGCTTAGATATTGATAACATCCCATAAACCCAATTTTATTGTACTGGGTACTCTTTTAATTTAATTTAATTTATTTATTTCTAATAAGTCGTTGGAAATACGTCGGAAAAAGTAATCAATACCGGTAGTACCCTTTTTAGTTTTATTATTTATTTATTTTCAAAAAGTCGTCCGAAGACCGTCGGAAAAATTAATCAAATATGGACGGTTTATTGACGGCAGCCTTTTTATTTTATTTTTAATAACTCATCGGAAACCATCGGAAAAATTAATCAAATACCGTGCGATGGTTTATGGATGGTAGCCATTTTAATTTAGTTTAGCTTTAATAAGTCGTTGAAAATTATTAATATATCGACATATTTCCTCATTTAATTTTAATAAGTCATCGTAAACTATCAGAAAATTTAATAATATATCAATGGTTAAATGATGGTACCCTTTTTCATTTTATTTTTTATGTCATCAGAAAACCATCGGAAAATTTATTAATACGGTACCTTTTTTATTATTATAACTTTATTTATTTTTATTATATCTTCGGAAAACCGGAGGAAAATTTATTAATATATTGAAGGTACCTTTTTATTTATTTATTTTTAATATGTCGTCGAAAAACCATTGAAATATTAATTATTTCTCATTTTTTTTATTATGTTGTCGGATAATCGTTGCAAAATATATTAATATACCGATCTTTATCGACAATATCCCTTTTTATTTTTATTTATTTTTAATATATCGTTGGAAAACCATCGGAAATATTATGATATACCGACGGTACCCCTTTTTATTATTTATTTTTATTCGTTTTAAATGGGCCATGTGATGCGTTAGTAGTCTTCATGACTTGTCATGAGCATGTTCCAGAAAAGGCTTTTTCCTATATTTATCTACCCGTCAGTAGTGACCAAACGATGATAATCTTATTTATGATCTGCCAAATTTCTAGGGGTGTAATGAATTCTTTCCTTTTTTCAGTATGCCGCTCCACTAGCTAACCTCTAACCAGAGAAATTAAGGGAGATTCAACTAGAACTAGACATGACAATGTCTTTCGATGATGAATCATTTTTTAGATCGAGTCATACTTGATCGATCAAGATGCTCATTAGAGATGATCGGGTATGTGCTAAGGACTTTGATGCTATGAAACTAGCAGGTCTTGTTGCTATCAAACTTTACAAGGCGAGGTTTACTACAGAAAAAGGGAATTTTATGCATATATATATATATATATACACACACACAGGGAATACTTCAAACGAGAACACTTTTATTTTATAAGAACGCGGGGAACACCTTTTTACTATAGACAATCACATGTGATACTATTATTCTATCACATATGATACATATGTGATACTAAATCAGAGACGCAGACTATTTTCGATGCGATAAGGGTGTTATTCATATGATACTATAATCCATCAAGATCATCACATGTGATGCTAAATCATAGACGCAGACAACCTTTGGTGCGGGCTAAGTTGTAGAACACGTCGTCCGCACATCATAGGGTCCGCTCACGCTTATTATCACATTTGATAAGGGTGTTCTCGCGTTCTTGTAAAATAGAGATGTTCTCGTTTGAAACTCCACCTATATATATATATACATATATATACATATATATATATACATATATATACATATATATATATATATATACATATATATATATAGGAGCGATCAAATGAAAACCACCTTCATTTGTACAAACCGTACAAACCACTCTCATACGTCGATTTCATTGTTTAATCTTATGAATTTTTTTTCATGAAATTGTTTATTCTTGTGAAATTATTTCATGTAATATTTTTTTTTGATGAATATGTTTTATATAATATTTAATGAAATTTTAATGAAATTGTTTCATGTATTTCTCTAAAATTAAAATAATGAATATGATAATATCCATGATTAACACCCTTCACAATAAAAATGGTTAATCAACCTCTCATAATTACAAAAAATGAACAAAATAAAAAATTATGATTGATTGAATGAAGTTTTCATGGTTTGTACAAATTGAGTAGTTTTTATTTGAACGCTTCTCTATATAGATATATATATAAAGGTAGTACCCCACATGAGACCATGAGACTTAGTAGGTCATATAGGTGGTATTAGTGCTAGTTGATAAAATGCGTCGATAAACCTTCGATAAATTTTACCGACTCACTTTTTCAACGGTTTTTGTCGTAAAGCTGTCATAAAGGTCATTTCCGACGGTTTCTGCGGTCGGTGATACTTTGTTTTTAGTGGAGTGTGATATGCATGCATCAACCATTTTTGGTCTTTATCCATCTGTTAAATTAACCGTCCATAACCGTCATAATAAGTAGCTACCTAATTGGCCTAAATTAATCGTACATAACCGCCATAATAACTACTGTTGATTTTGTATCTCCTTTTTGGACAAACAAACATATATCACAAATATTTGGGTTTATACTTGAGTTTTTGCCCAGCATCACGAGTGAGAATTTGGAGTATCCAAATACAAATTTCAGTGATATGTACCTTAAGCAAAAGTTGGTCGAAAGATTGTATTTACGCGTTCTTGTACACTTTCCAAGTTTTATCTAAGTTCGATGGTAATTACTAACCCATATTTCTAACAGTGAAGCTGATGGTGCGGGCTTTGGTCGCTTACAATACATTTTGACTTGGGTCTTTTCATGTCATGTGAGCTGGGGGCTTGCTTGGTACTAATCACGACCGGTAGAAGTAGCAACCTACCTGTGTTGTACAAGCCTGTTTTACGGAAGCAGAGTTTGACGGGTTTATTTCCAAATTAAGGATATTTTGATACTTATCCTCTTTACAAAAATATTACTTCCTCCATAGACGAACTTGTACTAGCTTGTCTCATTTTTTTCACCATTGAAGATGTAATTTTCGTTATTGTAAATTTGTAAGCACCAAATCGATAGGTCAGTTTTTTTGGTCCTTCCTCCGTTATTTTTCCTTTGGGTTTCCACATAAAAAATCTGGTCTCCCTCTCTCCTTATATATATATATATATATATATATATAGGGTTAGGTTCGGAGGAAAACCTCAAAATGGAAAACTGATGAACAACCGTTAATTTATATGCAATATGGAGAATGGGAATGCCTCTTTATACAACTTCACCTAGTAATTATACTCTCTACAAACTAAAGACAAAAAACTAGTACAAAACCTTGAAGTGAAAATCTTTGGAATTTGGATTAGGATGATAATTCTTTATCCTCAAACTATGAAATGTGTAATTGGGTGGTGAGATGGACAGATTACATAAACCAAACACTAAAACTCTTACTAAAGAAGGATCTGCATGTTGGTGGTTTTACTGAATTATCATGCCGTTTTGTGTAATTTGATTCACAAGTGAAAGATGAGCTTATTAGTTAAGCTATAATTAGGAGGTGCAGAGTACACACTCGAACTTATAATCTAATTATAACTCGAGATCGACAGATGTCACCATATGATCGAAAGGGTTTCCTAGCTAGGGGAATCATGTCACCCCTGGCGAGCCTAGTCTAAGGGGCAGAGCCCTAGTGGTGGATAATCACCTATCTTTAGTCAATACAGACAACTTAATCCATACATAAACCATTCAGGGTTTAATGAAACAAACAACACCTTATGAATTTAATAAGTTGTAGCAAGGTCATTGTGTATTTGGAACATATGTATATACGAAAACACAAATTTATAAGCAATTATGTATATAAAAGCTATGAAAGCCCCTTTTTACAACTTCATCTATTATAATCTCTAGGAACTAAACAAAGAAACTACAGTTAAGCAAGATCGTTAGATGATGACAATAATCCTTTTGTCCTTAAACTAAGCAATGCGTAGTTGGGCTGTGAGATGAACAAAAGCTTCTTCGTGGCAGGGAAGGGTAAGCCCTCCCATTGGATGGTGGAACCCAAATTCTTCCTCTGATTTATGTAACAAATCTTGGAATGCTGGTTGGTCCAAGTATGATAAAGGAATCACAAACCGTTTCCTTTGAATTTCTCCTACGTACACAGCCAAATATCCTTTGGGAACATCGTGACATTTGATTAGTTGTTTTGCATTAGCAACTACTGATTGCAACCGAAAAATCCCCATATTTTTGCAGCTAAAACAAGACCGTTTTTTAAGAGAATGAAGCGTAATTTGCAGACAATGGAAGGTGTAGTTTGTTGGAAGTCTCATGTATTAGGCTTATATTTATAGTGTCTATATCTAGTCGATCACAACTAGCCACCCAAATTGGATATCTTGGTGTTATTGAAGGGCCTACTTCATGTGAATCTCACATGACTTTGCTCAGTTTAGTACTACTCAGAGATCATCAGTTTTCCTTATCCATCCATCGATGATAAGAACATGTTGGCCTACTTGTTTCTATGAGGTCATGATCATGACCAAGGAGCAACACCTCCGGACCTGCATTTGATTCTGAATGTGATCTGAGCTGCTCAACTTGGAATGCGACTAAATATTTAAGAGAAGATTTGTGAGATCTAATTTATTCAAAAGAAATTAGTTAAAAAAATAAAATGTAATTTAATTAAAAAACTCGATCTGTCCTCTTTTCTCTATATATGCTCTCTCCTCTTTTCCCACTAATCTCATCTCTTCTCTTTCCGTAACATACACATAAGAGCTTTTGTTCGTAAAATTTGTGAAAAATGTCGACTAATTCGTCGTCGGGGATGAATTATAGTAATTTGTTCCGACCCAAGACATAAACAAAGACAAGGATAATCAGACTAATTGAATGTGCTTACAAGGTAAACACATTGTGGACACTTTCTTATAGATACTATTTTAGTGTGCGAACATATATATTGTGAACATGTAGACCTCTAAATCTACAAGATTTGATATAAATTATGAACATATTGTGAACGTCAACTAAAGCAACAAAACTAAATCTAAAACTTATTCTTTGATAGCAAAAGACTACTTTATTGAAAAACCAAAAATAATGAGAAACTAAATCTAAAACTATCACTTGTGAACGCAATGTGAATACCTTATTACAGAATTTCTTAAGGCATTACATTACTTTCACAATGTGTTCATCTTGTGTGCAATACATTTAATTGTGCATGTGACGATGGTTAGGATAAGAGAGGAGAGATATATTTATGGAATTTGAATTTCCTAAAAAATGTGTTAATGCTTATTTAATAAATAACATTAATTATCTTAAATTATTGGCTTAGGATGGATAAAATTTAGAGTTCTCAAATTATTAAGCCACTATATAGTCAGGTTCAAGAAAAACCCAAAAAGAAAAAAAATGAAAAACCAAGGAACACTTTAGTACGGTATGCACATGTGCGTACAAGTAATTGAAGATAATTCTTTTTTTTTTCTATGCATGTGCATACGAGACAAATTACTTGTATGCACATGTACATAACGAACTTATGAATGATTATTAGAGTTTTCATTTTTTGCAGTTTTTCTTTGAACCTCACACAACACACACATATGCATGCACACACACATATAGGGTAGGGACAAAATGCAAACCAAGCTATTTGTATAAACCGTAAAACTGTCGATTTCATTGTTTATTTTTAGTGAATTTTTTAATATAATGAAATTGTTTCAAATAATCCATTTTATGATGAAGATATTTCATATATTTTTGTGTCTATGTAAAAATTATATTGTTTCATTTATTTCTCATTTTGATGATTTTTTTTACTAAGATTAATAAAATGAAGATGACAGTGTCCTTAATTATTTGAAACAATTTCATGAAATTTTTAACTAAAATCAATAATGAAAAATTGACGGTTTTCACGGTTTATATAAATAGCTCGGTTTGCAAAATATCCCTCCCCTGTACAGATACATACACACACACATACATATATGTTTAATAGTCGGTGTGTAGTCAATGTGAGACTCTAACCACTACAACAAAAGAGGTTTATAGAACATCATATTATGTCTAAGCTTGTGTCATAATAGACTGTTTAATATAGATAGAACCAAACAATTTGTACGACACCATATATGTGTTATATAAGTTGATATGACGCTTTTGAGGCATCCTAAAAAGTTTTTTCTATTAATAGTTTTATGCATCAATATTTTGAAGAAGTGGAATATTAAAAATGTGTTCATAAGACACTTGTTATGATGCCAGAGTCCTAACGCTCTGCCATAACATATGCACCTTTATATAGGACACAAAATTGTTTGGTTTTATCAATCCAAGTCATTTAAAGTCGTCTATTAAAACATGTAGATATGTTTGACGTCCTATAAAACCAATTTTGTTTCAGTGAACACATGAAAGTTTGTTGCTCAAGACAGAAATTAGCAACAAAAGTATTCTAGTGTGTCGGTATGTCTTGAGTGTTCTTTGTTACAATACTTTTATTACGCTCGTTTAACTATAACCAAATTATCTAACATAAATATCGTCAAACAAAAATGAGAAAACTTGGTGCATGCACATACACTTGTGGATTGGTGTTCTTTCAAATTAAATGGTTAATTTACTTAATGTTGTGGTTTCACATCGCTTTAGATTTGATTGGACCGTTTCTCCTTTACATATATTAATTAGAATCTCTTTTTTCTCGTAAGGGATCATAATCTAGGGGCCGGGTTCCATATTCTAATACTTCAATTTCACCAACTACTTGTGCGGAAGAAATTTATGAATAGGCCTACAATTGTTTCTGTGAAGTCATCATCAGGAGAAACACACTGCCCCATACCCCTAGCCTAAAGGAAATATATAGAGACCTTCAATTATATAAGGGCGTTTCTTGAAAATGAGTTGTTTTTATTGGAAATAATATAGGGAAAGAATGTCTTAGTTCCGTTAAACAATTAATATGATAGTAATGGAGGCCACAAAACCATATTAGCGAGGTCAATAACATTCAAAAGTGGCAATAAGAACATGGTGTATTGGAAGTGTTTGATTTGAATGTGACTTAAATCCATGATGCGACCTAGTCAAGCCACCTGAAGTCGTGGGCTCAGGTCAGTAGTAAATTGGAGAAACAACAGTACATTTTTCACGACGTGGATCTTTTCATGTCATGTGAGCTGGGTTCACACTTAGTCCTGATATGATCTCCGTGAGTTGAACATCTTGCTGTTTGTTCAGTTTGATTACTTGTTTTGCATTAGCAACTAATGATCATTGAAACATGAAAATCCCCATACTTTTTGAGGGAAAAGAATACTGCTTTTGAAAGAATGAAGTGATACAAGTAATTTGCAGAAGTGGCCTGGGAATTCAACTGCACTCTACTTTGCTGAAAGTCTTCTGTTACAAGCTTATAAGTATGGTGCTATAAGCAGCTAGCCGCCCAAACGGAACATATTATAATGCATGGTTTTCCACAAGGGCCTACCTCATCTGAAGCTTTCACATGCCTAATTTGTTCGGTTGAGTACCACCCAAAAAATAGTTTTCTTTAACCATCTAACACCCCCCCCCCCCATCTCTCTCTCACACACACACACACACACACACAYATATATATATATATATATATATATATATATAAAACCTCCTATATATTAGAAATAACAACTTTCATAATTATCTTACTAATCTGTTTCTTATAGAAAAACTCATTTTTTTTGTTTTGCTTTTGAAACAACATCAATTTTATTTCACCAATGAAATAACACATGGGTTGGTGTACATGTGTTGAATTGTTTTGAACCATATATTGGGTTGATCTGTTTTGATAATATAGTATTGTTTTGCCAAGAAAATAGTACATGAGATTGATCTATTTTGAGTATAATGTCGTTTCACCAACGAAACATTACATTGATTGAGTGATTTCAAATAGGAAAAAATGAGTTACTTATGCACAGTTTACTTGTAATCTTAAATTTTAAGTAATATGCATCAATAAACAATAATTTATATATAAAAAAATAGTTTATAAGAGTTTTTATCAAATGCTTTATAATATAGTATAAATAATAACGGTCATAATATCAACAACAATAACAATAGTAATCTAAAAATACAAAATTATAAAATAAAAATAATTATAAGTTTTATAAAATGTTAAAGTCATCATAACACATAAATAACAAAAATAAAATAATAAAAAGTGAAAACAAAATATTATATCAACTTCATGATATATTTTTTAGTTACTAAAATCAAAATAAAACAAAGCCAATAAAAATACGATCCTAAATTGTAAAACTGAAATCAAAATAAAAACTAAAAATATCAACAGCATAAAATACTGAAATTATTATAACAAAAATTAAAAAGTAAGAAAATTGTAATTATTAATTTATTATTATATAATTAAAATTTAATTATTATAGTAAGGTGTAAATGTGTAATTACTACACCCCCATTTTACAATTTCCAAAGGTGCTTAGATTTTTGTCAAAAAATAAGATATAGGGTCCATTAATTACAGACAAGTGTGTAAAATAAAATGGAAAGCCACCATCAGAACTTAACATGTGCGAGCATCATTACAATAAAGTAAATATATATATATATATATATATTAAACGATATTTTAAATCTAATAGATAATTGCATTTCTTATCCTTGAATTCAGGTATATACTACAAATATCAGCTACCAACAAAAACAGCATCCAGCAAATTTTGTTGTTGATTACAGAAATTAATTAGCATCCAAATTAATTACATAGTTACAGACCGAGTTATATCGCAAGACAGAGGGATCATGAATAATCTGTGGTTGAAATGGAGCTAGTTGACGGGCGTTTGAGTCACGTTATAACAAAATGAGTTTTTAGAATGCCTAGTCGTTTTTTAGCGACACAATAAAAAAGTACTTAACAAGACTTTTATTTTTAGATGACAAAAATATGTGTCGTATATAATAACATTCCAATAAGTTGTTAGGATAAAGTTAATTAACGATCTACCAAGTTTTGTCGACAAATTTGGGCAACCTAAGATCGAGGATTTAAGATGTAAATCGTCGTACTAGTCTTTTTTATATGATACTTCTAAAAAATGTTATGGTAGCCTTTTATACAACTTATTATATATAGGACACCTTACAAAATTGTCGTATAAAGGTTAATGAAATGATTAAGTTTTTGACCTGTTAAGTTGGTCAGTTGGTCAACTTCATCCATATACTTGTTATATTATCCAACTTTAACCGATACCAACAACTTATTGTAACACCTAATAGGATGCACAATTGTAGGTCCTTTAAACCTAAAAATCACATTACGTACTCTATTAGGACGTCCAAGGATGGCCGATGATCCTGAAACTCTAACTTCGTTGTGGTTTCAGATTATGCCTAGTGCCTTAGGGAGGTGTCAAAAGCAATGGATGGTAAGGGGGATAAAATCTATGGACATATATATATAACATTGACAAATTTAAGTCCGTTTGTTTTCCAATCAATTGGGAAACCTGCAAAAAGGATATATAGATTATAGAATATGGCTGATCATATCATTCTTGACCGGGTGCGTGTAAACCGATGTGTTGGTACCTTGGAACTAGACTCCTAGATTTGAAGTTAAAGAATTTTTTTTATGTAGTTATGAGTTATGAAGAACCAAATTAAAGGAGTATAAGCATGTTTCCATGTCCACTTCTGCTACTGTAGGAGAATCCTTATTCACTAGCAAAGTAGCAATTGATCGAAATCATTGGAAGCAACATATATAGGATCAAGAAGCCTTATAATTAATTTCGGTGTGGGTTCGAAAAAAATGGTGTGGGTTCTACCATATATATACAGGTATGAAAACATAGCACTTAGTCCACAGGTGATGGTAAGCTTTTATGTAGAAGGTTTAAGTGTTTAACTATACAATTCTTCAAAGGTGGTTAAAGGTTCACATAAATGATTGAAACTCTTTCCATGTATACATCGCCAATATATTGATAAAAGGGAATATGTCCCTTCTTTACATTTGTTTTAAAACTACACCTATTATGCTGTCTATGAAATAATGATGCAAAATTAGAAACAAAACCATGGCTTGAACATTCTTCGATCGATCAGATGATGAAAAATCCCTGTCCACAACCTATGAAGTGTGTAATCGAGCGGTGAGATCAACAAAGGCATCTTCCTGGCAAGGAATGGTAAGTCCTCCCATTGCATGGTAGAACCCGAATTCTTCCTCAGACCTATGCAACAAATCTTGGAACAATGGTTGGTTCAAATAAGATAAAGGAATCACAAAACGTCTCTTTTGTACTTCACCGACGTACACGGCCAAATATCCTTTGGGAACATCTAGCTGTTGTCGATGGTTCAGTTTGATCATTTGTTTCGCATTAGCAACTAACGAATGCAACCGGAAAATACCCATGTTTTTAGAGGGAAAGGGACTGGTTTTCAGAGAATGCGCACAGTGATCCAAGTGAACTAGTTTTAAGAAGTGAGAACTGGACTGGAAGGCTTGTGCTTTGAAGAAAATTGGCAGCATCAAACTTGTATTTATAGAGTTGTGTACTTGCAACTGGATATGCAAATGGCAAAAGGAACAGTTAAATTTCTACAAGGGCCTATTTCATGGTTCCCTCACATGAGTTTGTTTATTTATTAATAATCAAATACTGCTTCTCTTTTCCCTCCAAGCCACAATACAATAAATTTCCCTACTTGTGTTTCCACCAAGAAATACGCGTATCCAAATAGTCTGAAATAAAATTTTATAATATTGCTGTTACATACTTGACAATTTGCTCCAGAAAAGGAATTAATTGCCGGTGGATGCTCTTTGTTTATATATTTATTATTTGAATCTGAAACAAATGCACGTGACAATTTGATTTTTATGCATGATCGGTCAGTTTCAAGAGTATTCAGCCACCGAACTTGGGCAGTATAATCTATACAGCCCATGGTTTCATTCTAACAAGCTTTTTGAAGTTGCAGCATGGATAATTAGCAAGATATATGGATTTTTTATTTATCAATTGCTGTTCTCAATGCACTGGCCATACCGCAGGAGCCAGGATGCATTATTATAAGGTGTTCTTACTATCTCTCTTCTCTCGATTCGGTTATCTTTCGTGCTTGCGCATACAGTGTGCTACAAGTAAAAAATCTGACCAGCATATGACATATCACAGATGACTAGAATATTGAAGACTAAAAGGAAATGTCAAGATAACTTGATATGTAATTAAGGTCTTTTTCAGGATTATTAGCAAGATATGCATTTTTATTGGATCAATTGCTGGTCTAAATGCAAAGCCCATACCCCAGGAGCCAGGGGGCATTACTTAGGTGTCCCTAACTTTCCCTTTTCTCTTGGGTTGATCGATTTTCTATCATTCTTGTGATGTTTTTTTTGGGGTTCTTGCTGATTTGCTAGTTTCATGTTACTTTATCTACTTAAAATTCTTCTTCTGTTTCATTTCCTAACGCGCGCTTCTGATCAAACTTGGCCTTTCCAAGCAGAAAATTTATCGCCAATCTGTTCGACAGAACCAAAGATCAATTTTATTTTCCAAAGGAAAGCTGGACCCTTGCATCACGTAAACATCTGAGTTGAATGATAGTCTGGGAGGAGGACTGAAGATACAATTAATTTAATCAAAACCAATCTCATTCCTCTCCCACGTACTACCATTTCTAAAACAAGCGGCCAAAACGTGTGCCCCAAATGGATCGAAGGCAGCCTCACCAAATCCCGACTAGCCTTATGCTCAATGAGAACGAACAGTACAATTATTTATTAGATGAAGAGCAAACGGATTCAGAAGATGAAAGCAAGATGAACAATTAACCTCTTTGGAAGACGATGTCGAAATTTCACAAGGTTTTACACACAGATTCTTTTATTGATCGTCATATAATATTTGTTTGGAGGTGGCACATTTTTGGGCGGCGATATTAATTGTGCTCGCCTCGTGGTTGCCCAAAGGGATACAAGAAGGGGAAAAATGCTCAGGAGCACAGAACTATAAATCTATAGTTTTACAAAGAACATTTATCGGTCATGTACTCGTATTCTTATAATCAATTACACTATTTTTGTTTAATTTTAACCAAATCTACTTCGTAAGAATAAAATTATGATTAACAAAAGCCATAATAAGCCAAGACCATACATATACACGAAAACATTAATTCATATGCATTATAGAAGATGGTGGATTTGAGTGCTTTTAGTGAAATACCACTCTGTTTCGTATAATTGAATTTACAAGAGAATATAAGGTTGATAGTTAAGCTATATAACAAGTTAGGAGATGCGGAATGTACATTCCTTTTTATGTAAGCTAGTTAGAACCCAAGATTATTGGACGTCACCGGGGGTCATGGGGGAGCCCCCTTTCAGGATCTTGAGGGCGCTGGGGTCCAAGGGGCAGAGCCACCTGGCAAACGAAATGTTAGGGAGCAGACACTATAGATTTCAGTGTTAGGTGGTGTATTAGTGGTTGCTCACCGGTTTTTGTAAACACTGATGGTTTAGGTGGTCATCAGTGTGTTCAACTAGCAGATGGTTTGCCAACTGATGTGTTATCAACCAGTTGAAACTAGCTTCAACTTGCTGATGGTTCGCCACTGATATGTTATCAGTTAGCTAGCTGAAGCTTCAACTTAATGTTTATTGCATAGTTTTGTAATTGTCCTTTTTTAACCATCCACTACTTATCTCCACACAATTACTTCGTTTTAATGAGGTGTTATTCTCGACATTACCGTAGGAACAATTATGATTCTCTAAGTTTAAAAGGTAACGAATTTTGGCAAGATGGTTACGGAAATTTTAGATTGTCCTCGAGTTAATTTCATGATACCGAAAATATAACCAAAGGAAAGTGAACTTTCACATGATCTCAAGTTTTATCCGAGCTTCTTACTCATTCTTTTTTCTCTACAAGAGACAATATTCCCCAACATGATTTCATCACAACCTTTTAGAAGTGATGGTGGTCGCAAGACTACAATTATTGCTCTAAATTGTCATGAAATTAGGTTAGACTAATCACAAATTGAACTGAAGTCAAAAATCAAATCAAAATCAACTCTGCTAATCAATCAAAACAAATTCTTCACTATTAAGTGGAAAATCCAAAACCCGAAGAAATCATAGATGAAGGACTATATTGATTGAATTCGCAAGCCTGAAAAAGTAGCAGCAATGGTTTCTACAGCATCCCTGGTGCGTGAGTTTTCATGTATTTTTTTATGGTCAAATGGTGCCACCGTTTGAAAAAATTTATGGGTCCGTCCCTGCTCTAGAACATGACTTACATTGTTCCTATGAAGTCCTCGTCAATCAGAAGAAACATGTACACTCATTTTAAGTCTCACTTAGGGGCTGTTTGGTATTGGCTTAATGGGCTTAATGACATGTATAACTTACGTTTGGGGCTTAATGATAAAGCTATCGGCAATATCAAAGTGTTTGTTTGAGACTTAGTGATTATGCTCTTCACAATTTTGGCTGTAGGGAATCAGCCCTCCACAGCTTATGGGATCAACCCTATTTCATTGTCTTTCCAAACCTATCCTTAATCAATATTACAGACACTACAATCCATACATGGTTTAATGAAGAAAAAAAAAACAAACAACACCTTAGTGAATTTAATAAGCTGGATCAAGGTGTATTGGAACAGTAAACAAGTATATAGGGAAACACCAATATATATGCAATTATATATAGAAGACGGGAATGCCCCTTTTTACAACTTCACCTATTATACTCTAGGAACTGAAGAAGGAAACTATAGTGCGCCAAGATTGTTAGATGATGACAAAAATCCTTTGTCTTCAAACTAAGAAATGCTTAATTGGGTTGTGAGTTGAACAAAAGCCTCTTCATTGCAGGGAATAGTAAGCCCTCCCATTGGATGCTGGAACTCGAATTCTTCCTCTGATCTACGTAACAAATCTTGGAATCCTGGTTGGTCCAAGTAAGATAAAGGAACCACAAACCGTTTCCTTTGAATTTCTCCTACGTATACAGCCAAATATCCTTTGGGAACATCTTGCCTTTTGATTAGATGTTTTGCATTAGAAACTAATGATTGCAACCTGAAAATCCCCATATTTTTGCAAAGAAAACAATTGTTTTGAGAGAATGAAGTGTGATTTGCAGACAAATGGAAGGTGTATTTTGCTGGAAGTCTCAGGTATCAGGCTTATATTTATAGTGTCTATATAGTCGATCACAGCTAGCCATCCAAATTGGAAAGTGGAAATCTTTGCGTTCTTTAAGGGCCTACTTTAATGTGAAAGTTCACATGCATACATTGCTTAGTACTACTAGTTTCTATGAGATCAGGATCATGACCAAGGAGCAACTCTTTGAACCTGCATTCAATTCTGAATTATGATCTCAGCTGCCAAATTCGGAATGAGACTAAATACATATATCCCATTGAGCCCTTACAAAGAGAGAGAGGGAAGATTCTCATATATACATGTTTGATGGTCCTTGTCTAGACGATGCAAGACTCCAGCCGCTACGTACAACAAAATCAGTTTACAGGATGACATATTATATCTAAGTGCCATACACTACAAGAAACGACACTTTTGCCTACATCTTGAGTGTTCTTTGTTACAATACTTTTATGACACTCATGTAACAATAACCAAATTATTTGGTGCACATACACTAGTCTATTGGTGTTCATTTAAATGGTTAATTGCATATACTTAAATTTCACATACCAACAACTTGTGTGGAAGAAATTTATGAATAGGCCTACAATTGTTTCTGTGAAGTCACCATCAGGAGAATCAGAAGAAACACACACTGCCCCCTACTGCTTGTTAAAGGGCAATATATATAGAGACGACCTTCAATTATAAAAACACTAGAGATTGTTTTTTTGACAATAATTAATGAGTTGTTTTAATTGGAAATAATATATATAATGAAAGAAGTGTGTATCTATTAATTTTTTAAACAATATATAATAGTAAATGGAGGCCAGAAGACCACACAAGTGAGGCCAATTAACATTCAAAAGTGGCAATTAGAACATGGTGTATTGTAACCGTTAAATAGGACTTCAATCCCTCATGCGACCTAGCCAAGCCACCTGAAGCTGATGGTGCAGGCTTAATTAGGTCGCTAGTTCATTGAAGGATCGAGCTATGGTACATTTCTGTGACCATCCCAGATATTTTCATGTCAAGCGAGCTTGCTTGGTTAGCAATGTGTTGAAGCAGTGACCTACTTAAGTTGCACAAGCCTGGGTTGTGGAACTGAGTGACCTGGTGCGTGCGACGTAAGTCGCATCCCATGTCTAACGGATTTATTATCAAATTAGTAATATTTTCATACCTATCCCGTTGACGAAAAAATTACTTCCTCCATAGACGAAACTGGAATAGCTTGTACTATTTCCTT